CTAGGCCCTTTTCTTGACACGGTGCTGAATCCTTGTCGACAGATGTCCTTTGATGATCTTTACTTCTTCTTTTAAGAAGCAGCAACATACGCTGCGGCGGCGGTGGCGCGGAGCACAGAGCGGCTCACTCATTCCCAGCCGCCATCTTCCTACTCTTCCCTGGAAATGTTTATTACAGACACATTTTTTTTAAACATTTTCAATCACAATTAGTTGAATCTGGCAATGTGACATCACAGATATGGAGGACCTTATGTCTATTGATTGATGTAGGCTATTTCATTTTGACTTTATTGTGTTGTGACTAATCTTGCATAAATCCTTTTGTGAACATATTTTCATTGCTTTTTTACAAATAGGTAGAAGTGGAATTTCTTGGTCAAATATGATGATTTTTATTTTATTTTATTTTTGTAGTCCTGCCTCAACCCACTTGTATCCATCTTCATCTAGAGTTATTGGTGTTGTACCCTATATTGCTAGTTTTCTTTTAACCTCATTTGTTTTCTCTTGACCTACACATCTTTGATTCATTAAGACTCTGTTTTCTTGTATAATATTGAGAGTGCCAGTTTTTAGATGCTTTCTTTTTTTCTGTTTCATCAGGAGGATTATTTTCAGAAAGTGGACCTTTCCTTTATTTGAGAGTTWTCCAATTTCAAGAGTAAGATTCTGATAATGATTACCTGATAAAATTAGTAAATACCAAATCTGAAGTAAAATCATAATTTGAGCTTCAGATTAATATATTCATTCTGTTCTTTGGCCTTGTTTTATCATGGATTCCATATTTCTCTTTACTTTTTACTTATGTTCAAAGAAAGAGAGATGGATACTGACCATGCTAACTGGGAAGTTAAATTGTCTTGATTTTACTTCCTATCTCAGTTAGTACTAATCACAAGTGGATGGGCATTGTTCCAAATTCAAGACTCAATTTCCAGCAGATATTCATGGCTATGTTGGGTTGAGGTGGAGGTGCCTTCTATGCCTGTGTTTTCTTTTCTAGTCATCTTAGTTGATGACTAGCAGATCTGGGAAAATCGACAGAACTTCCTGCAACTCTAAAGCTTTGTTCTCCTCACCTTCAATGCTTTGCATGGTGACATGCTTTCAGGTATCCATGGAACTCGCACAAATTTCCCCTAAGCTTCCTGCTTGTGCATGTTGACATTGATTGCAGTTGGTGGTAGTGTAAAGATTTGATGGGAAAGGAAGCTGAATGTACTCCTTATCACCACACACAAAAAAAGGAGAACCCCTGAATTTGAAGGATGATTGCCTAGAATTTCATTTGAACAGATGGCTGTTGGTCCAGGAGAAGGGCATTCAGTAGGAGAGAGAGAATATATCATTGGCTCTTTTCTTCACACAGATGTAGCTCTTCTTTTTCATGAAACAATACTGAGTCAGCACAAACATTGTTTTCTTCAGTCTAATCCATCAAGTTTAAAGATAGCAGGGCCATTTTGGAATTTTGACAGGGGCTTATTTATCAACCGTGGTTTGTGTTGTTTTTGTGAATTTCCTTATTTTTCTCTGTCTTATTGAAAAGTTAGAGGATATAGCATCAAAATTTGTTTGCCAATTTCAAGAGTGAGATTCTCATAATACTTAACTGATAAATTAGTAAATACCAAATCTGAAGTAAAATCATAATAATGGAAAACACATAGTACTGTGGAGTACCAGACACTACTCTGAATAAACTAAATTGAGGTAAATTATAGGATTAATTAGTTAATTAACTTATAGCCCATTCTTAGAATGTGAACTTTTGGGGGGTATGTATCAAGTTTTGATTTTTAATACTGGCATGAATTAAAGTGTCCAAATTATGCTCAGAATTCAATGAAATTAAATTAATAGTAACACTGGGAACTGGACTTAGTATTTTTCAAAAAGAGAACATTAAAACACAGTGAACAAAGTGGTTTCCTGTGCATTTATCTCTCTGTTTTTCTCTGGCTCTTTGTCTATCCCTCCTTTTCTTATTTAGTTTTCAAGCAATTGTGGAAATTCAGCATATTTTAAAGATAATTTTTAAAAAAAGATATACAGTAAATAATGCTTTTTTAATAGTTTAAAAGAAGATAACATCCTAAAAAATGACTGAAAATTACATGCTGACACATTTAGTGAGTGCTGTGACACCAGTACTCTGAAGCTGCCCATGTTGATGCGTAGACAAATACATGATTATGTAATATACAGAGGGTCCTAAGGACAGTATGCATATAGCACTAGAGGAAAAAAACCAAACAAAAACAAACAAACGAAAAACAGGAAAGCTTTCCTGACTAGAAAAAAGGTGAGGTGCAATGCATATTACTTAGCCATCTGAAATCCAAAGAGGGCTAGTGCTTCTTTTTTTAGAACACTTCTGGTGAGTGGTTCACCAGGTATTAGTTTCCATCAATTTAGTCTGGATTTGTTTGGGCCCTTTCCACATTTTTATGCTGTTTCTGTAAGACATTTTTTTTTCTGAAATCCTAGAAATTATTTGATGCTTGACTCAGGTTTCTTCCACCTGACCCGAGAAAGCAAGTGCTCAGAGGAAAGGTCACCTTAGTTCCCTCGGTGGGGCTTGTGATGTCCACATGTGGACAGCCTTCACTGCCATCCCCTGGAAGGGGGCTGGTATTAGGCAGTGCTGGTTGGGGACTCAAGGAAGGAAATGATGGTCATATCTTTCCTTCTTCCAGGTCTCTTATTTGGCATCCTATGCACCTCCATGGCTGTGGCCGCATCTCTCCTGGGGGGCGTTGTACAGGTAACTAACAAGGGAAAAGACACATTTAACTTCATAGCAACTTTGTCCTCACTCATTTTTCTAATGTTTTAACTATTTCTCCAGTCTCCAACTACTGATATTCAAACATATCAGGTCCCAATTAAACATCCATGCAATATTTCAACCAAAAGTATCTTCAGAAGCAGAAACTGCTACAACAAGAATGGATAGAGACAAAGTTCACTGTGTTAAAATTAATTTAAAAATTCTATCAATAATAACCATAATAGTGAAAACACCAATTAACGTATATAATACCTACTATGAACTAGGTATAGCCCTTTATGTATTACCTAATTTAATGTTTATAACTTTCTTAAGGGGTTATGTAATTAATATACTCATTTTCCTGATGAAGAAACAAAGAATTGTCCCAAACTCACACAATTAAAGAGTGGTGAAATTAGGATACAAGTAAGTTTTATTATCAAAATCAAACTGTTGCTCATATATTCAACTCCCAGTTCCATAAAACATTAGCATTACAAGGAAACACAAGAATAATCTATTGCAACACCTTCATTTTGTAGATGATTGTAGAAAAGAGTGAAAATATCCTGCTTAAGTTCTCACAGCTACCTGGGATTGATTGAACCCAAGGGGCTTTAGTTACATCCCCATCCCTTTTTAAATTTATTTTGAGACAGGGTCTCACTAAGTTGCTTAGGGCCTTGCTAAGTGGCTGAGGCTAGCTTTGAAATTGCAATCCTCTGTGTTGGTTCCTAAGTCACTAGAATTACAAGTCTGTTCCACTGCGCCTAGCTATGATATGGGTTTTCAATAAATGCTGCCTAATTGAAGAAATGAGTAAGAGTAAATGAGTAGAAACCACTGGATAGTGAACAGCAATGGTAAGATCGAGTGGATATTAATAAAATAGAATCCATATTTTATATATAATATGTGTGTGTGTATATATATATATATATATATATATATATATATACCTTCTAGTTCACAAAAGAGTTCAACCTACTTTCTCTTTCAAAGGACTACTTACATAGCTTCAGTTATTTCCATTTTAATATTCAGAGAATAAATCTGAGATATTTAAGTGACGTGATTACTTACTGTTTAAATAAGATAATTTGTGGAACCAAAATTTAGTATCCTTTCTGTTAAATTGTGAACTTACTATTTATCACAGATGCTTGATTATAATCCTTTTACACAGCTTGAAGTATACTGATATTTCCCTRTCCACAAGAAACACTGTCAACTAGGTGAAGTTTGTTTTTAGTGACCTCATGTGCATTTTTTAAAGGTTTATTTTAACAATTCATGGAATCTCTATTTCTAATCTGCTTCTGAAGCCTCAAGGCTTGTTGTTTTCATTTGGTATTTATTCTTAAAGAGGTTTCAACCTGTTTAATTTGCTGATAATTTGAATCTCTAAATTGTTTCCTCCCAAAAATATTTGCATTGATAAATGAGGGGGCTCCAGAGAAAGCCAGGATTTTCCCAAGTACTCGGGAAAAATAACATTTTGAGTAGGGAGTACATTGAGGGATGCACTCACCTGCCTGTCCTACTTTAGATGAGAGCTGGGCTCACTTTCCTGATTGACATGTGTGCCACACAGTTCATGCAGTATAGGAGATGCTGGCAGGCAAGAAATGAAGCCCTGATATTCTGCTTCCTTGGAGATGTGTTTGTCTCCAAGATGGTCCATTCATTTTTGTGAACATATCTGACTTTGTTGTACACATAAAAGCAACTGAAATTTTTCTATGTTTTAATTGGTTCTTTCTAGTTATACATGATAATAGGATTCATTTTGACATAAAATCATGGAATATAATTTGTCCTAGTTCAGTCCCCAGTACTTCCCTTTTCCCTCTCCTCCTCCCTCCCTCTGTTCTCTTCCCTCTACTCTACTGATCTTTCTGCTATTTACTTATATATATTTTTAAACTCAGTGTCTTTTGAATATACTTGATGTTGATATTCAATGAAATATATTTATATATGTGCATAGGAAAGTTAGGTCAGACACTTCTCAAGACAAGAAATACAAATATATGAAGTTGATCTATTTAATTTTCCAAACAGTTTTGCTATATTTGATTTAATGAAACATTATTCATATTCTGATGTTGCATGTAGAAAAAGGAACCCAAATCTCTCAGTGTGAAGGATAGAGCCAGTTTTAATTTCATGTTTGCAAAACCACCCCACACATATGAGATTTTCTTGTAGGTGGGGCAGGAATGACAGACCACTTAAACAAAGGCAGGCCAGTTCAATGTGTGCTTGTTCTTGCTGACATTTTATAATTTGGTTTATTTCAGAGTTTCTGTTTGCTTGTGTAGCAATGCTGGTGTAAGACTTTAGTTTGAAATGTGACAAAGTGTGTCCTGGAGAATGTCATCCTGTGAAATGTAAATGTGTGACATGTTCCAAGGAAGAAAATTTCCATAGTTAAAGACTGGAACAGGGTGCACACTGCATTGCCTTCTCAGATCCACAACGTATATTAATAGTATATTAATACATTGAAGACTCTGGGAAATCCAACAGTAAGGAAACCTGTTTCACTTGAAATATGTGACACAGAACCATAATAAGGTGGAAGAGGGGAGAGAGATCAGATACTGGCAACAAAAATTTCCCTTTAGCAAGGGAATTGCAGCCTTCCTTCTAGAAAGATCATTCTAACCAACACACACCTGTCCTAAGGACTGTCAGCTAAGGGCTGAAGTGACTTGAGGATACATTTTTAATCTCACCTGAAGAAAGTACTTTCTAGATTTCAAAACATTACAACAACACAGGATATCCTTCAAAAATTTAGAGATCACTAACAGGGTAGGTAATAGCAGCAATGAAGATTGTGAGTCATAGTGCACATTCTGGGCCCCTTATCATGTGCTCCCTGGTGCTCAGACATTATTCTGAACTTTCTCTTGGATTCAACATTGAATACTCACTAATACAATAAAAAAATACAGAAAAAACTTCCACTAGGAAGCAGATATTATGATGTGCCCTTGACACATGAGGAATAAGGCATGGAAAGGTTAATTATGCATAAGCTCCTCAGTCAACCCTGAACACAAAGCATATTCCTGTAGACATTGCTGTTAACTTGTAGGAATAGCTCAGATTGGATTTTGAGCATTAAGGAGAAAACTGAGTTTGATGAGCTTTAACTCTTCCTCCAATTAAACACGTTTAATAACAAAAAGAAATATAAAAGTTAAAAGTAGTTTGCTTTGTCCAACACAGAAATACATATGTATATTATATTTCAACACACACACACACACACACACACACACACGCACACTTAAATCCAGAAACTCTTGGATATTTTTTTTCCCGAGGCATCTGGCTAGTGACTTTGTAAGAGCTTGTTGATATTTATTTCATGAGGGAAGAAAAAATATATTTACTATTTCATTGATCTTCTATATAATAGCCAGTAAATTAGCTTCCAAGTTTAGCAACTACAGCAACTATGAATTAGTGCTGTTGATCAATAGAGGAAATATCAAGAATATTCAATTGAGAATAATGGGGAAAAGGAAGCCTTTAATCTTACCTGCTCCATCATGTCAAAGACATATCTGAAGTGCTGACTTTACTAAAAAGTAACCTGGGAAAGCAATACTAACAATGCATAGCAGCTCATCTTTCTGGACAAAGACAGAGTGTTCTGGATATGAACACTGAAGAGGACTGGAAGGTCTGTTGTCCCTGTATAGTTTTATAGAGAAAGAAGAAAACTCCAGTTGAATGAATATGAGTTAGTAACAGAAAGTTAAACAAATCCTAGTGATGTGGGTCAGGGCAATAATTACAATTCAAATATTCTAACTATAAATGGTGGATTCTTTCAAAAGATCGCTTTTCCTTTGAACAGAAGAATTAGGACATAGTGGTCTGTGCTCTTGACATTCTTTTTTAAGACTACTTTTAGAAAGAAAATGTGGAATTTGGAGCCATAGCAATTTGAATTTATATCTTTACGTCTGCCACTTGCTAAATACAAAGTGAACTTTGATATTTTCTCTCAGCACCAATTTTCTCAGATACAAAATTTAGTGTTACCTACTAAGATGAGTGATGTGAGGATTAAATTTGTCCAGGTGCACAAGTAGTTCTGTCTTGCATATAGTTGGCCCCTGAAAAACAGGATAAGATCTTAGATAAGATGTGTCCTCTGTAAGTGCTTTGAGGAACTGGAAGGGGCTTCATTGACAGTAGTTGGTGTGAATACATGCACACAAGTGTGTATTTATGTGTTTCTTCATTTGCATAGGCTCATTCACTTGCACATAAATGCACATGTATTTTCTAACTCTTGGAATACCATGGAATTAAGTTTTATGTTTACAGAAAAATAGTTTAAAGAAAGTCCCTGGCCAGTTMATTGTAGTCTATAACTTAGAGGTTGAAAGATGTGGAAATACACTTCTCAAACTCTCTCAATTTCCAAACGAGATGGAGCATAATCATGAGAGACAAAAAATGGAATGTGGAGTGTATAATGTCCTCTCCACATGTCTGAACTTAATGCTTAAATATCCTAGAGCTGTAATGGGTGGGATGGCAGTAGCTGGGTAACAGACAAAAAAAAAAAAAAAAAAGAAAGAAAGAAAGAATTGTTCAAACTAAGTTAAATAGTTTATCAACTAAGATATAAAAATGTAGTAGATATATTTATTTAGTACATTATTTTTATTTTTCCACATTTTTTGGTGCATTATAGTTTTACATAAGGAAGGGAATTGTTGTTACATACTCGTAACAATATAACACAGTACATTATTTTTAAAAAACAATTTTTTAGGATGCTTGTAACTGACCCAAGGCCCCTTGTACATGTTAGGCAAGCACTAACCTATATCTCTAGTCAAAAAAAGAAAAAAAGACAAATAACTTTTGATAATATAAAAATATAAACAAATGTATAAGTTCCAACTCAAGTGAAACCTTCTTCAAGCAAATCCAAACCACCTGTTTTCACTTTACAACCACACATATGTGCACATATACTCACACATATATACAAGCATGTGTGTGGGTTTATATGTATATAAATTTCCTTTTTATTTATTTTTTTTCAGTTTCTTTTTTTTTATACAATGCTTATCACTGGATCCAGAATTGACCTAAGGAAATGGCACAGTCAGGACTTGAACCAAATTTTATCAAGTCCCAGAGAAGGATGGTTCTGGTAGGCCACAAATAGAGTAGAGTTGTGAGACTCATCTGATCTCCTTCATTCCACAGGCTGCCCTCAGCATCCATGGCATGTGTGGGGGACCAATGCTGGGTTTATTCTCTTTGGGACTTGTGTTCCCTTTTGTGAACTGGAAGGTAAGCATCTTACATCCCTCTTTGTGATTCCCAGCTCAGATAAAACCCCAGATATATTTCCTCACCTCTTTTTCCTCTAACCTCTGGTTGGAAAATCTATTTATCTTTGCTAGGAAAAAAATTCATAGTAGAATCAAACAGAATCAAAATCCTCTCATATCTGACTTCAGCAAAGCCATTTCAGAAACAGAAAACAAAGAAGGAAAGGGGTGGTCATGAACTACCATATGTCATGGTATCAAAGGTAACTTTTTAAGGTTTAAATTAAGATTTCTCTCAATTAAGGGACAACAAAATTAATTTTAAACAAGACACTGGATTCAGAAACAGTATAGTTAAAACAGAAGTTTGAAAATGAAATTCAAGTGAAAATACATGCAAATTTCATTTTTTCTGTAGTTATCTAAAATTGTAGCTAGCTTTATTAACTTGATTAACTAATGTGTATGGAGGAGATGGGACATGACTGGGATATCATGATAGCTATCTTCATTTGGCTGGACTGGTAAGCTAGGAGTACGAATTCAAGAAAATGTTGTTCAAATGACTACGCAGGGAGTAAATATCAAAAATTAACATTTATGATGTAATATGATAAAGATAATTTGAAATACCATTTACTTATTGTTATTCATGCACTTACCACGCATGCATATATTTTTAGAAAGTCTTTAACTCCAGATAACCTGATTCTTTGTTTATTTATGTGCATGCCTTAGGGTATTCCATAAATACCAAGTCAACTGATTTGACATCTGTGTCTACCTGGCCCTTATTGAACTCTTTTAGATAAATCATGGGGGGTTGGGTAAAGAAAGTGGATGGGTGGATGGGTGGATGGATGGATGGATGGATGGATAGATGGATGGATAAATTTCAGGGCATTTTCACACTTCTCCTGCAGTTGTATTAGGAAAACTCTGTCTTAATCATTTTTATGATATTGAGATTTGCAAGGATATTTATGGCCTTGGGAGATAATGTGAAGAAAGACGATTGCCTAGTCACAAAAATATCTGCAGTTTCTGTATAAGATYTYAATGCGGGCTGGGGATGTGGCTCAAGCAGTAGCGCGCTCGCCTGGCATGCGTGCGGCCCGGGTTCGATCCTCAGCACCACATACAAACAAAGATGTTGTGTCCGCCGAGAACTAAAAAATAAATATTAAAATTCTCTCTCTCTCTATCTCTCTCTCTCTCTCTCTAAAAAAAAAGATCTTAATGCATTGTCTATTTAACTTATTATCTATATTAGCAAATAGATAACAATAGTAATAGTAAATAGTCATTTTATTTAGTCAGRAAAACCACCTTATAATAGATAGAGGAAAGCAAATATTTAAATTTGTGTCACCTTTTGCCTTGTAATTGGTAGTATGAGTAAATACCCTTACTTGCTAGTATTTAGACTCAAACAAACAAACAAACAAAAATTCCAAAWCTTGRAAGTCAGTGGACTCTGCCAGAATCACTTGGGATGACAGACACAAGTAAGAATTTTTGTGTAAATAGATGTTGATGAAACATGACTGCTTTGTCTCCATTCTGTGAAGTTTTTCWTAACTTCTGAAACTTATTTTTTGGCAAGCAATTAGGGTTTTAAAATCTTTTTAAATAATGAGAAAGAAACCAGAGGTAGAGAAATAACTCATGTTAGAAATCTAAATATAATGATCTCAATAAAATTCTAAATGACACTGTATTGGGAGAGTTGACAGGAAGGTAGTTTTGGCTGTGTTCCAGCACATGTGACCCAGATTTGAGGTGGACACCCAGAACCTCTTTGGTGCAGTACTTCTCATCTCATGATTCTTTCAACAAACCGTTTTGTCCAATTTCATATTGACTTTCCTTTCTTCATCAAGGGTGCACTAGGAGGCCTCATTACTGGAATCACTTTATCCTTTTGGGTGGCCATTGGGGCCTTCATTTACCCTGCACCAGATTCTAAGACATGGCCTTTGCCGCTATCAACAGAGCAGTGTTTCCAATCAAATATGACGACAGCAGCACCTCCAGAGCTATCTAACAGGTATGTCGCCTTTAAATATGTCAGACATTGCATCTCAGAGATCAGAAAGCCAGTTTAGAAAAAGTGCATTCCCCGGGGTTAAGGCTGATGAGCTGCATTTTGTTCTCCTAAGAGAATTCCAGAGCCCAGAACTGAAGAGCATTATGTAGGGCTGTTGCTTTCTTTAGATACCTCTTTCTCTGTACTCAGGTATACAAAACAGTGAACTGGGAGAGCGATAAATTGGAGATATGAGTGCAAAACAGAAAAAGATTATTAGAGGTTTAAAAATAGATGGGTGGGTATGAGGATCATAGTTCCCTTAATAGAATAAAGATTATGAGTAGAAGAGACTGTGAACAATGAGGAAATGATTATGAAAATACTAGGCTGGGAACCTATGTCTTCTAAATCAAGCTATGTGAAYACATGTGCTAACAAAGAATTTTCATTTCTATTTATGGATGGATTAAGAGATCCAAAGATACCAAAATACAGAAGATAACTATGATGTAGGGAGAATACCATGGACTCTCAAATCAGAAATAACCTAGATCTGGATTGTGCTTTTAYCATTAATCTACTTGTATCATTGAACAAATTAGGAACTGATCACTTCTTGCATTCTAGAATCCATTGATTTAAAATGAGGTTCTTAGCATTTATTTTACTGGGTTTTGAGAGGATAAAATTAGAATATATATGTAGTGTATATGTGTGTATATGTACATGTGTGCGTGTGTGTGTGTGTGTGTGTGTGTGTGTATATATTTATGTGTGTGTGTGTGTGTGTGTGTGTGTGTGTTTACACCACTGTATCTTAGTTTTAATAATGTACATTCTAACATTCTAACTGAATATAGGGGCAAGTTAAGGAATATAGAATTTGTGGTCCTCAGATTTGAATKACTCTTTTCTGATTTTCACCAATGCTTACCTTTTTGGCTTGTCTTCACTGGGCTTAACATTCTAAAAATTGTCAAATAATTTTGCAAATTATGTTTATGGATATCTCTGTTCCTGGAATATCTTCTCCTTTCCATTTACCTTGTCAGTCCTGAGGGTACTCTCAGCATTTTAAAAAAAATAGGACAGTGAAATTATTCTATTTGTCCTTTTGGTTGCTTACCTTTCTCTATCTTCTCTTCTAATCCACTCTATCCAAAATGTTCACTAGATGTATTCTCCTGAAGCAATTTTCTGAGTCCATGATTGCCACACCAAGGTAACTTAAATCTTCCGTCTACAGAAAAAAAAAGGACAGTATTTTTTTTTATCCTGGAATGAAATGCCTTTCAGGAAATGTAGAAATTTCCTGTGGGTCCTGTTRTTTCTCACCCTTCTCCTTCTTCTATTCTAGATCCTCCTCTTTACTTTATATATACTCCACTCCTTTCTACTTTTAATCAAGGTATTCATTTTATTCATTTCAAAGGAACTCCTTTTAACATTTATTTCTACTTAGAATCTACTCCTCTTTCAAGATGCAGATTAGCGTCCCCATATTCCCATAAATAAATATACATAATGTATATTAAATAAATTAAATGTTTACACACACACACACACACACACACACACATATATATATATATATATATATTTAGATTTCAAAGATAGTCAAAATTTGAAAAGACCTTTTCTAAACAAATTATCCTTCCATTCTTAAAACTTTTCTACAACCCTGGCATCTTGAAGGCCATGCTTAAAACAACCTCCCAAGGCATCCTAGGCATTGTCTGAGTCCTCCCAGTGCCACCAGTTATACCTTATTATTSTTTCCTCTTGTATTGCTTTCTCTTCTGTCCTTCTACTTCTTTCCCCCCTTTTACCTTTTTTATCCTGTTCTATTTTTCCTCTATGTAATAAATTCCTTGAGGTCATATATATATTTCATTCATTCTTTTTTTTTTTGGAGGGGGGTGGTACCAGGGATTGAACTCAGGGGTTCTTGACCAAGCAACATCCTCAGCCATATTTTGTACTTGATTTAGAGGTAGAGTCTCACTGAGTTGCTTAGCTCCTTGCTTTTTCTGAGGCTGACTTTGAACTTGAGATCCTCCTGCTTACTCACTGGGATTACAGGGGTGCACCACTGTGCCTGGGTATCTCCTTCTTTTTATAAGGGAAAAGAGCAAGGAGGAAACAACAAATAATTTTAATTTTTTCCACTTTTTCCACACTGAAATCAGGGTTCATCTTTATCTTCACCTCATAGCTCATTTTTGTAAGCAGTGAGGATGTCTTATTACTTGYGATGCCATCCTGCGATCGTGACTCTGAATACAGGGAAGATGTCCTTGGGTGTAGCAGGGTTAGCCAGCTTAGAAAAAGAAATTTCTAGCATAGTTCAATTTCTATTTCCACATTATATTAAGTAAGAGGGCACATTCAGAAGCTGAAGGTGGGTCTTCTGACATTTATTAAAAAGTTTTTTAAGYGGTAGTATTCATTTGAGGCTACCAGCTGAATGAATGTAAGCAACCAGCTATGTGTTGCCTTTTCCAGTGCCTGACAACTGTAAATGGATAGTTTTTCCTGAGATGTAAAATTAAGCTGCCTTTGGGTCATTGTTTCATAGGATATGGTGGTATTGTAACAAATCAATTACTTCACTGAGAAAGGAAATAGACCCTAGTTACTTCCATGGGAAATCTGCATCTAGACTCCATTTGAATCACTACCAATCAAATTTCCCAGGAGTTCAACAGTCATCTCTGCCTCCTTTTCTGCAAAAGACATGCAATGAACTCTCTTTATCTAGCATGTTAGCTCTTTATACTATTGAGTAAGTGGAGAACTGCTCTGGTTCTTCCTGTAGGGTGAAGTAGGTAGAGCTCAGTATGGAACACTGAGCAGGTGGTCTTTGCTATACAGCAAAGCTATGGACACCCCTTTATCTTATCATGCTTCTGTTTTTCCTCTGAGATTCAGTTAGAGTCCTTCCTTTCCATAAGTCTTATGGTTGAATAATATCAAACTTTATATTTCTCAATCTGCCATACTATTTCTTTCCTCTTGCCTATGTTTATTATCCTCCTTTTTTATAATATGAAATTGTGTTCCTTATTACTCTCTTTTCTAATTAGTAAACATTCTTTAAAATGAACTGAAGTACAGTCTCACACATCCTATCACAATYCTTTGTTCTTGTTCCACCATGCATTTCCAAGTCCATTTTGTGATTTTCTGTTATTTCATATATGTAGACAATGGCTATCTCAATTCCTGGCATTAAATCTGATCTTAATACATGCCTGRAAGATAAATAATACAAAAAGAATGGAAGACACAGTCCTCAATGAAATACTCGTAATTCAGTCTACACATTGCAATATTTGTAATTCAGGGATGATTTGAATCTGGTGSAATATGAAGCATAGGTAATGTCTAATTAAAATGTTAAGCTTTGGGTTTAAACAATCCTAGGTCCTAAAAGGAGCCTGAGCAGTCCTTCAGGTCATTGTGGATGACTACGTCAGAACAATTGAAACTGTTGAAACATGTGCTATTGTTACCCACAGGCCCACCATTGCTGATACCTGGTACTCGCTCTCCTACCTTTACTACAGTGCTGTGGGCTGCCTCGGATGCATTATTGCTGGAGTAATCATCAGTTTCATAACAGGTTGGTTACTTGGATTTCTTCTTTTGGGTCTAAAGAAGATAGAGCTCTTTCTTGCATTTGTGGACTCTGTGGCTATCTTACTGGTTGATTTCAGGTCCACTGAAAAAGGCTTTTTCCAGAGACATATGTCTACTCTACCCAAGTAACACATAAGAACATTCCCCTGATTATTATGGATCTGATTATTAATATGTATGGTATATGTATTGAATATAAAAGACACTTTGAAACATGCTCCCCAGAGACATGAATGTGAAAAATCTTCTATAACAGAACAATCATTAAGTCTAAATAGCAAGAATGTTTCTTTTCCCCTTCTCTCAATAAGAGACTAGTTTTTTTTCCATTACCACCTTACTATCTCATGGGATCAACCTTGGCTGATCTGTTAGATAAGAAGGGCAGAGTCTACTGTTGCCTTTTGGAAGCTGCTTTGCTAGGGTCAGTGATCAGCTTCACCCTAAGCCATTTTTGGTTCTAGGATTTACCATTGTACTTTGGACCATAGTCTCTCTGATGACTCAATATCCTTTTAATGCCAAAGTTCACGATGTAATAGGTTAGAAATGGGTTAGAAATGTGGAGGGTGGAATGGGCCTACTACATTCTTGTTCCACKGTCCTATGCATTTTAACTAAATAAATTATTAAGGTATTCTCCTTTCATGCTACCATTATATACTTACAAGCAATCAGCACTCAATATTTCTACTGAACACAAAATCTCCATGGTAGCCTTCCTGCTGATTTTGGACTGGAAACGCTACATGCAAGTTGCAATGCCTTATCATTCTGAGTACGACCCCTTTAGCCATTCATTTAAATTTGAGGATATCTTAGGTATGATAAAGAACAGAGCATAAATATTGTGGCCCTAGGCTTTCATGTGAAAATTCTCCAAATTTCTGTATGAAAAATGATTTCACATGCAAGTTTGTTTATTTTGTTTAGATGTTGCCTTAGTATCCTGACTACAGTTGCAGCTTTTGTGCTGCCAGTAGGATATACCTAGCTGTGTTGATAAGGTCACTCTCCAATTAAGAGAATAACTAAAGCTTCAACTGTCTGATTGCAAAGCAGAATATGTGTACTCAAGTCCTGTGACTGGCTAGTCTATGTATTTTCCAAATGAACATAAGAATTGACATATTCCTGTGCTGATACATCAAGGTTTGTTTTACATTTGGATTGAAAATATTTTTGTTATCTTGAGCATGAACAATCATCCTGATACAATCCCTATCTTTACTTTATTTCCAAATGTCTGGAATCTTAAGGAAATATCTTAAGACCAAGAGGCAGCACTTTAATAGGGTCTAATGCCACTAAACCTTTGAAAAAAATATTGGTCCCGGTGGCCACGTTTCTATTTCCTGGTGCCTGTCTTTTCAAACGAGGTTTCTGGTGCTCATTTGGACCCTGAGATATGGTCACTAAGCGATTTTCAAAAACCTTCCATCATGCCCACTGAATGTTTTTAAAAAAGAATAAAACTGTTTAAATTTTGTGGGATAAATTTAGTAGATAAGGCAGGGCTCTCTGAGTCTGTTCTCTTGTACCATATTCAAACTTAGTCTTTCTTGGTCTTAAAAGGGATGGTTTCAATTCTACATCTCCCAGATAATCATATCCCTCATACTTGTTGGCAAATGTAATTAATTCTATTGATTAGCACCTTAAGGCTTTCTAAGTTATCAATCCTAATTTGCATCAGCTACTAGAAGGTGATATTGGACCCAGATATACTTTAAAGTCTTATGACTGGCAAAATTCTACTGGGTAGCTGAAAGTTTCTTTTTTCATTATTTTTTATAGTCGTGTGAAATGAAAATACCATTTCCTAAGTCAAGAGCAGAAATCTTTCTTCTTTGGTTAAATGGCCAGAATATCCCATTGTTAGGAGAGCAAGAATAGCTTTATGCTGCTCTGATTTTCAGTGTACAGTCCTTCATATTTAACTGAATCTTATCAATTTTATGTCACCTGCCATGTGTCTGAAAGTCTTAGATATAAAGCCTTCAGTCAGCCCATTATTTTTATCTCTTACGTCAAGTTTTTTCAACTAAGGCTAACTCTGACCTACCACCTGTTTTTGTAAGTAAAACTTTATAAAAACACAGCATGCCTACCATTTTACTCTTATCTGGTTTCACTCTACTAAGATAAGGTTAATCATTGCAACATAGTCTCTGGCCAGCAAAATCTTAAATATTTACTATTTAGCCCCTGACAGAAAAATTTTGTTGATTCTTGCCCTAGATCATTGATCTTTTTGGAGAACATTAATGTAGGACTTTCTAAATCAATAGGAATTGTGTAGCTGTATATTGATGCTATGATGTACCTCATTCATCTTCTATCTTTCAGTTTGCTGCTGACAAATTCTATGCTATTTTCATTCCTAATTTTTATATGTGGCCTACTTGCATTTAGTCTCTTACTCTCTTCTCTCCCTTTTCTCCTCTTTTCTTTTTTCTTTCTCATACACTCTTATACACAAACCTTTCTCATTCTGTCGAAACTTCAAGAACAGTGTCTTTTTCCCCAAAGTTTCTGACATTTCATATTCTCCCATTAACTCCTTTTCATTTCTGACCTAGCTTTTCTGACTTCCAGTATAGCCTATGTTTTGAAATCAGGGATTCTATATTGRGTTAGGGGGCTTGTGCTCTGCACAGGGTGGCCAGCAGAGGAGACAAATGGGGAATGGATTCCATCCCCAACTCAGCACCTTGGCATATAGTTGCCTCTATTCAGAGAAAAGGGGAACGTTTCCAAATTCTCCCAAAGTTGCAATATAACTCATGAAATTTCTTCTTCATCTGCGAACTTCTTTTTGCATAAAAAAAAAACCGCCCAAACCTCATTTGTCTACAGGAAATGGTCTTGTCCCCTGTGACCTTCTCCTTTCACACGCATACGTCCGTAGTCCAATAGTCTAAGTTCAGTCATGCCCAGTCCCCAAGGTCTTACTCATAATTAAAGCCATAAACCCAAGATTTAAGTTTCATTTTCTTTTTTAACTTCCTACTCATGAGAATTATAGCCCTGTACTTTGCTTTACTCTCTACAATCTCCCAGTCATTATTTTTTCTAGATGGAAACAGGTCCTAAATCTATATGAAACAAAGAGCCTTTTATTTGTTAGCAAACCTCAAATCCATATTATTTATTGGAGTGTTTGATAGTTTAGTGGTCTATTCAGAGAGAACTATCTTCTTTTTAAACCCTGGGAGTAGTTTGGTTCTAAGTTAAATTCTTCTGATTCAGAATCATGATTGGAGAGTAGTTTGAGGTTTTGCCTAGTCTTACTGCCCATACACATTAGGGTAAATTGGATGTTATAGGCTTTAATACCATGTATGGTTAATTTCTTGCTCCATCATTTAGTAGGTCTTAAGAAAATTCCTTTGTAACAACACTTGCCTAGCTATAAGGAGTAATTTAAGTATAATGTACCTAATTTGTAGAAGGCACTAATTGATAAATATTATTGTCAATAGCAGTAGAGTTCTATTTGGTCAAATATCTCTYGACAGACTCATATAATGCCACAAAATATCTTATTTGAAAATCAACTTGCAATTTTGCAAATCTAAATTTTGTATGTTCCTAGAAAGAAATTTGAGGGAATGCTCATGGATGGGCACACTGTCTAGTACAAGGAGGAATCTGCTTGATATGTGTAACTCCTGTTCCCCTATTTCTTCTAGGTCCTTTAGACTAATCTAGCTGTCAGACTCATGGATAACATTTAATGAGATTAAGTATTCATAAATAACCTTGATAAAACCAAATTTGCAAAGGTTTGGGGAAGAGGAACATCATGAACCTTTAAATCTTGTTTTGATCATCATTGTGAATCTTGTTCAACAGCAGGATTTGAAGAAATGGAGCATGAACAGATATGTTTTAAGGAAAAAGAGACATGAAGAGTGTCTAGAGTGGTTGGGGAGAAACGATGGTATTGCTTATCCAGGAGGACAGATAGAAAGAAACACTATAATTTAAAAATAACGTCTTAAATAACCTTGAATATTATATCTGATTTGGATAAAAGCTAAGAACTTTCTTGAATAAATATAATTCCTGATTTCCCCTTTGTGTTGGCCTGTGAAGGTTATTAGTAGATTTTTCCATTCTAAACATTTTTAAATAAATGTGTTTTCTCTGTTTTACTCTATAGACATGAGTTTGCCTGAGCTGACAATTCATGGTTTTTTTAAAACCAAATCCAACCCCTTTCTTTCAGGAGTTCTATTTATTCTTTCCAGTTCTATTTATTAACCTGTCAGGCCTGTTTTCACCCTTTTACCAAGAAGCAAATTACTTCTCAAGTTGATATGCTTAAATCCTGGAAGCCTTTAACCATCTAATCCACCTGTCCTTTTGTTAATAGGTCACCRAAGAGGCAAGGATGTTGACCCACTCTTAATTAGACCAGTTTGTAATTTATTTTGCTTTTGGTCTAAGAAATATAAAACTCTGTGCTGGTGTGGAGTTCAGCATGACCGTGGGACAGAGCAGGTGAGCAGATTAAGCTTTTAAAACCAAACATTAGCTCAAAGAGATTCCTGTTTTGCCCATTTTGAGCCAGTTGCAAGGGGTGGGAGTGGGGGTTGTTGAAGGAAAGCAGTGGATGTTAGAACTTGAAAGAATCTAGGTYTCAACTTCAGAATTTCCTCAGCTGATTACCTTTCAAGCATATGAACACAATAGGTRAATGTGCCTTGGATCTGAATTGCCTGCATTGCAAGTGACCTATTTTCAAAGTTCCTTTTAACCCCATGTGAAAGTGAATTCTAGGCAAGATAAATAAATAATAGAAAGGGAACAAGGAGCCTCAGTCTCAGTAAAGGCTAAAAGCCTGGGTTTTAGATTCACATGCTTTGGGACTAATCCAGTCCCATGTCTGTCTTTCCTTYGATGAGTTATTTAACTTCTCCAAATTTCAGCTTTTTTGTCTGAGAACTGAGCATGGGGGCAGGTGATTGTGCAGAATGAAGTGGACAGAGAAACACTTATTGTTCTTTGGGGTAAAAATATACAATATTGAGAGAACTTACAGGCAGAGATGCAGAAAGAGGCACCTAACTTCCCAGTATCTTTAYTCCATAAGTGCAGTTAGGCCAAACCAAGCTAGACACAGTATCTGAGCACTACCAAATTCATCATCAGRCAAGAACCATCAGGAACAGCCTACAGTCTGATCAAGTTGGACTTATTGACTTGATGCAGCATGCTGGGGTGCYGCAGAGGACCCACATAATACCACCTTCTACAACAGTGGGGGGTGGACATATCTTTTGCATGTTTTGGGCTTTTGCTGAAGGATTCTGAGAGGTGTTAAAGGGAAGCAGGAAATAAACCTAAACTTCCCTGGTCAGTATTGGTAAGAGCACAATAGTCAGACAAAGTGTTATTATGGAATGTGACAGCAACAGGATTTCAAGGAAGCAATATTTCCTGCCAGTTTTTAGCTGGCTCATCAGTCTGCCCTCCCAACTTGATTAATGGCAGGAGTGATCTTTTGGKTTTTTTTTTTTTTTTTGGTTTTGGGTTTTGGGTTTTCTTTTTTAGTTCAAGCTTATYTTCACTTTTTCATCCCCATTTTATTCTCATAGAACTTGAGACTCTTAACCCATATCATATCATTTATTTTTCATCTGTCAATTGCTATCTTCCCCATAATTGTGTTATGACATAAATCTAAATTTAATATTTATTGCATTTGGGAATAGCACCATCTTTTTGTGGCTCAGAATGGGTTCTAGGATCAAGAGATTTTAGGGGGATATTTAAATGCAAATGCAGGGATGTAATTAAAACTGGACAAAACCATGATATGAAAGTTCAAAATAGGAAAAAGGAGAACTGAGCTGGGTGGGGGTACCGAAGCCAGTCTTCTTGGAAAGTAAGCAATGGCTTAATAAATAAAAAGTTTGCCCTATTCAACAGTCTAGAGTTCTGAGAGGGCATGATTCATCCAGATCAGCAATTTAGTTTTCTAAGAAGGTAGTAATTGAACAGTGCATTGTTTGTGTAAGTGGATTTCAAGGAAGTTCTTGAATCAAKTTATGAACTGGTTTAAACACTTATTTCCTGAGTGAGAATTTCCTCATATATAAGTAATAAATTGTGTTAATACGAGAAGCTTACATTCTCAAGATTTGCRTTGAGAGTGGGAAGGAAGACTTAGGGTGTCACTATTAGGTTCCTTTGCCACAAAACATTGAGTTGTCTGCAGGAGAGATTACATGCAGGTATTTCCATTAGCCTCCAGAGGGTTTGCTGTTCACAGGTAGGAACAGGCCACTGCCACCTGAATCACAGGCTTGTCTGTCCTCATGCAGTAAGGAACTACCTCATAATATTGCTGTATTAAATGAGAGATGTATAAATATCCTCAGGTAACACAAAACATTGTAAATGCTCAATAAATTGTTGTTTTTGTTGTTATTATTATCAAGATTATCAGTTAAGCAGTCTAGGGTCAGTTATTGGACCATTTTTGTATAGAGTCATTATTTGAAAGGGAGACCTGAGTGATATCCCTCTAGGTGGGTTGGAGTACCTTGACTATTTTGTTACTATGTGTCTTTCCATTTTTCTCAGGACAACYTTGAGAATGGCGGTGCCTGGAAACAAGGGGCTGAATCTGTCTTGCAGAATGGACTCCAGCAAGAAAGCCTGACTCATGTTCCAGGATATGACCCCAAGGACAAAAGCCACGACAATATGGCATTAGAGAAGATGACCTATTTTTAGGACAATACATGCAAGCGTGTACATACACACACACACACACACACACACACACACACACATTTCTTGCCTAATGTTAGTAGAGATGTATAGCAGTCATTATTTTTAGTCATTATTAGAAGAAAAGGCTGCTCAATATCTATTTATACTTATTTATACAAGTGAAATGACTGTTCCCTAGGATAGTCTTTGCAAATCCCCAGTTTGAAGTTACAAAAAATCAGCAATGCTCTACATGCCCAGGGATTTCCTTGTTTAATAAATTAGGACTAGATTTCACCGTAGTGGAAGGAGTCAAAGAATATGATTTGTGTCATATAAAACTTCAGGTTTTTGTGTTTATTTTGTTCTGTGTGTGTGTGTGTGTGTGTATGTGTGTGTGTATATGTGTGTGTGTGTGTGTGTGTTTGTGTGTGTGTGTGATTGAACACAGGGCCATGTTCATGCTAAACACCTGTTCTACCACAGTGCTAAACCACCAGCCTATGTTTTGTAGTTTTACCATCAATATCTTGGAGCTATAGAAACAGAATGGGAAAAGGGAATCTGCCTGGTAAATGCTACCCTGACACTGTTGGTAAAATGAGAATGATGTTGTTTGCAACCTCATGCCTCACATATATGTAGACAAATTTTATAACCTACCCCACATCTTATAGCTCTAATGGAACACTTAAATGCTACAAGCATCCCCCYACTGCCACATTTGAGCCTCTTTTAGTCATTACCACTACTAGAGCTGTCTGACCAAACTTTAAAGAAAATACTACAAAGCACAGAAAGGAGACAAGGGTGTCTGATCAGTGGGAGCGGTTATAACTCAATGCTGTCTTCCCTTCATGGTTCAGGGATTTGTTTCTTCTTCCTTTCCATCACCTTACAAACACAAATTGATTCTGCACTTAACAAGAAATCTGGAGTTTTTCTCTAAGATAAGGTCAGGAGAAAAGGAACATCTTTTTGATATAAGGGTATTTTTTTTAGTTCTTTATATATTTTGGATATTAATCCCCTGTCAGAAGAATAGCTGGCAAAGAGCTTCTTCCATCCTGAAAGTTATTCTCTGCACACTCTTGTTCCTTTTGCCATCCAGAAGCTTTTTCMTTTTATGCCACCCCACTATTGATTCTTGGTTTTATTTCTTGAGCTTTAGGAGTCTAGTTAAAGAAGTTGGTACCTAWGCCAGTATGTYGGAGTGTGTTTTCCTCTAGCAGTTGCTATGTTCTCTAATTCCTAGATCTTTGAATCCACATTGACATGACTTTTGGACAGGATGAGATATAGGGATCTAAATATTTAGTTTTCCCAGAACCTTTTGTTAAAAAAGATATCCTTTCCCAAAGTATGTTTTTGGAAACTTGTCAAGTATTAGATGACTGTATCTATGTGAATTTGTCTCTGCATTTTCTATTCCATTTCATTGATCTTTATGTATATTTTTATGTGAATGCAATGCTGGTCTAGTTTGTTTGTTTGTTTTTTACTATAGCTCTATAGCATATTGAGGTTTAGTATTCTGAGACCTACAGAATCACTCTTCTTGCTCAGGATTATTTTGTTTTTCTGGGTCATTTATTTTTCCATATGATTTTAGGATTGTTTTTCTAGTTCTTAAGTATTTTGACGGGATTGCATTGAACTTGTGTAGTGCTTTTGGTGGCCATTTTGACAATATTAATTATGTCCATCCAAGAACATGGGAGGTGTTCCCATCTTGTAAGGTCTCTTCAATTTCTTTCTTCAGCCTTCTATAATTGTCACAGTAGAAGTTTTTCACCTCCTTGGTTAGATTTATTTCCAGATAATTTTTGAGGATTAAAAATTATGAATGGATTTTTTTTTCTGATTTTTTTGCAAAAGTCTGCTAGGACATCCAGTTCATATGTGCTAGCTCACCTTGCTCCAACAGATGTAAGGACCTAATAGCCAAACTKTAGAAAATAATTTTTAAAGTTCTAGAGCAAGAGAGAAAATCACAGAAAGTGTTTAGCCCTGTGATTGTCCATGCAGAACATCCAATGTTATTCTGTGGTATATTAAGAAAACTGTGTTCATTTTAATTTAAATTATTTTTTTGTTTCTCTTTGGGATTTTCAAGACACTGACTTAKAATGTATATTGCTACTATACTTTGAGTATTAGAAATGAGATAAACATAAGGTATAAATTCCCCAAAAGTAGTTTTTCAAAGAATAGATAGAATATATTAGAATTTAACTTATATGCCATTTTGCAGAAAATAACTTTTCTAAAAGTCCTGAATTCTTAAAAAGCAAAATGCTGTTATGAAGATGCATAAGTTTATTTCTGAAAATGCAATATTCATAGCTGTGATTTATTAAGCCTTACATTTGTATATGTGAGTGTGGATGAGTAAGCAGCCTCTCAAACCAAATTTACAGCTCAATAATAATTGCAACTGATAATCAAAACAACAACAAAAGGGAAGGGGCTCCTTATTTGTTTAGATCRAACTATTTTCTGAATATTAATTCTATTATTCTGTGACTATACGGGGTAATATCATTTCATAAAAAGAAAATACAGGTTACAGGAATTTCAACCATATTTAATAGAAAAGATTACTTAAATATTTTACAGCAGTACAATCTTAAACATTATAGCAATGATCACAAACAATAGTCTCTCTTTAATTGTTTCCTTAGAAATAAATTGTCTAAAAAATTACAAAAATGTTGACTGTATATGTGTACATTTATATATTTAGAAATAACATGTGCTTATTTTAAATATTGGAAAGTAGCTGGATTTTGCTAACCACTTTTTTCCARCATTAATAACTTTGTAGTATAACCTAGTTCCAAAAAATTAAAATGTATTTGAATCATCRGTGGTACATATGAAAATGATACAACATTCTAAACRAATCAATTATAGCTCAGAGTAAATAATCTAAAGAGTTATTATTATTTGTAATTTTTGGAAATAGCTAAAATTATTTCCTTTCTCATCCCCAAATCCTGATTTGGTGAATGTAGTTTGCAAACTCCTACATSAATAACAGTCTTCAGTCTACTTTTCCAGTACTGTACTTTTGGTATTTGAAGTATAGTTACTTTCAGAAGAGAGTTAACTTTATAAATATTTGSTTACTTTATCATTACATGATCTTTACCTGGAGTATGAGGCTTTTGTCACAAATTGGAAAAATAGCCATTGGAGGAAAATGTCAGCAATGGTATTCTCTGTATCAGTAGGAAGCTTCATAAGTGGATTTTGCATTTCCMAAAATATATGCATCTTTTAATGTTAGAGTCTTGAATACTTCAAAAAAGAGTGGCATGTTTTTACAACTAGTTAATCTTAGGAAAAATTTCTGGAGAATGATTTGTAATTAAGGTATATAATTATGTTTCTTTTAAAAATAAATTCTGATTGAAGAGCATTGCAATGGTCATTGTCAATATTTCTTCTATGAATGGAATGTAAAAGGGTCATCTACCCCAAAATCTTCAATGTAAACCTGATAGGTTAAGGCATGTCTAGCAGGTGACTAAGTAAACATGTCATGGTAAGTTTTGCCATATTATATAACATAGATTCCTTTATGATGTTTTGGATAATGCCTGTAATATTTGGCCCACTGATACTTAGGATCCATACACACTTGCATACACACACGCCTGTAAACACACACAAAGTAAACATCAAGAGAGTTTTTATAACTAAACAAATCAGGTTACTATAAACAAAGTAAAACAATACATAATGATGCTACCTTTTGTGGACACTAGCCTATGTATTCTCAGGAATTTTCAGAATCACTTCAAATAGYCAGGTGTGGTGGTGCTCACCTTGATCCTAGCCACACAGGAGGCTGAGGCAAGAGGATTGCAAGTTCAAAGCGAGGCCCTAAGCAACTTAGCAAGAACCTATCTTCAAATTTAAA